AAAAAGATAGTGGTAGAAGTTGCAACTAGAGAGGTAGGCACATAAGGCCAGATCATACAAGGCCTTATTTGCTTTTATAAGGACTTGGAATTTTATTATGGATAAGATGAGAAGCCCTTGCAGAGTTGTATTTGCTGACACAAGTAATGTAGACTTACTATGGCTCATTCTCAGGAAGTAGGGTCACCTCCATACCTGACTCTGGAGAGACAGGTAGGCAGGTCTTGCACAGTGGGTACCCCTAAGTTTGTTTTACATTCAAAGTGAAATCAGGTCAAATGAGTAGCATATGATAGCTAAGATTCTAGGAAGCTGGCAGGAGGAGAAGTCAAGCAGGCAGTGCTTTTATTCTGTTGTAACTGCCCATGGTCCCCAGCAGTGACCCAGCAGGTGCCAGGTACTGTGGTAGATAGGAACTGCCTCCATGTTGGGATCTGTTAGGGTTCAAGAATAGCACTTAGGCTCTTGAGTTGAACAAGGGTTTGAGGTCTGATGTTCCAGAGGTGAACCTAGTACTGGGTTAGGGCCTAGGGAGCCTGGGAGACTCATCTGGTACAGTGAAAGTAACTTGGACATTGAAATAAAAAAGAGCTGGCTTTGAAATTGGCTTTTCCTCACTTCTTAGTTATGAGATCTTGGGCTAGTGACTTAATTTCTTTGGACTTAAGTTTACTTATCTGTAATATAATAAAAATAGTACTTACTTTGGAAGTATTATAAGACTTGCAGGGACTTAATAAGACAGCATAGCACTTGTCACATGGTAGGTGTTCAGTAAATGGTAGCTGCTGGTAGTGGAGGTAATATTTATTTTTCTTTTTTCCTTTTTTTTTTTAACCTCCACAGAACCACCAAAGAGGTAATATTTATGATAGTGCTAGTGTTAACCTTTTATAGGGTGTTTATTGTATATCAAACATTGTTCTAAGCAGAATTCTTAGGCATCTCCAATCTAAGTCCAAATCCAGATTTCTGTTCTTCACCCAAAACCTACTCCTCCCATAGTTCTCACCAGTAAATGGGATTTTTATTATTCCAGTTTCTCAAGCCTTTGCATCATTCTTGATGTCTTTCTTCCTCTCATACCTTATATTAAATCCATTAGCAATTCCTGTCAGCTTGATCTTCAAAATATATAAAAAGTATGACTAGTTTCTACCACCATCATCAGTGTATTACCCTAGTTTGACCACATCATCTTTCACTGAACTGTTTCTAAAACCTCCTGATTAGCCTACTTCTTTTCTTGCTTTCCTGCTGTCTGATCTCAGCACAATCTACCTCTTCTTAAAATGAAGGCAAATGATTTCATTCTTCTTTGCAAAACAATCCAGTGGCTTTCCATCTTATTTAGAATAAAAGGAAAGTCCATATAGTGGCCTCCAAGGCCCTGCGTGATTTGGACTTCATCACCTGTTTGATCTTACCTATTCTTCCTCTTCATTTACTTCACTTCAGCTAAACTGGCCTCTAAGCTGTTTCTTAAAAATGCTTCCACTTTGGGGCATTTGCATTTGCTGTTTCCTCTGCTTGGACAGTTTCTTCTCAGAGACCTCCATGGCTTGCTCCTTCAACTTATTCAGGTCTTTGCTCAGATGTCACTCAGTGACACTTTTTCTAATCATCTTATTTAAAATTGCAACACCTACCCTTAGCACTCCCTAAGCAGCCTGAGTGGATTTCTTTACAGCAGTAGTCCCCAGCCTTTTTGGCACCAGGGACAATTTTTCCACAGACTGGGGATGTGTGTGGGAATGGGGCTGCGGGGGCATTAGATTTTCACAAGGAGCACACAACCTAGATTCCCTTGTATGTGCAGTTCACAGTAGGGTTCACACTTCTATGGAAATCTAATGCTGCTGTTGATCCAACAGGAGGTGTGCTCAGGCAGTAATGCTTGCTTGCCTGCTGCTCACTTCCTGCTGTGCTGCCTGGTTCCTAACAGGCTGTGGACTGATGCCAGTCCATGGTCCCAGGGCTGGGAACCCCTGCTTTACAGTTTTTATTGCCATCTGATGTTTCTTTCACTTGAAAAAAAAAAATCTCACTTTCTTCCCCCTCCCAACTAGCACGTAAGCAGAAGTTTTTGTTCTTGTTCTCTGCTGTATCTCACTTCCTCTAGACAGCCTATATGAGAGAAATGGCATTTGGGAAAGAAGGCATGGCCCTCAAACTGGGCATCAGAATCTTCCTGGGAACATAAATACACAGATTTCTGAGCCCCATCCTAGATAGAGCATAAAGGATCTTGTATACCGTGTGAAAGAGTTTGGCTTTTATTTGTAAGGCTTTTGAAGAAGGTGGGGTGGTATTAACTACAAATGATAAGAGAACTTTTTGGGGTAATAAAAATACTTTATATCTTGATTGTGGTGGTGTTTGTACAACTGAATACATTTTTCAGGGGCTCATAGAACTATATACCTAAAAGGGGTAAAATTTTACTATATGTAAGTTTTACTTTAATAAACCTGTCATTTAAAAAATATTATTACAAAGTATGGTTTTTGTTTTTTTCCCCCATTTTGAGGTTAGAGGAAACAGAGGCTCACAAGTTAAGGAACTACCCTGTGATTCCATCGTGGTATGTGGCAGTTCCAGGATTTGAACCTAAATCTGCCTGATAGTAGAGTTTGTGATCTTCCTACTCATTTTTAGCCTGTCCCTGAAACTATTAACAGTATATAGATTTTGTTATAAAAGTCCAACCTTCCCTTAGAAGCTGGGAATCCTGTCTACCCTTGAGAAGCTCCCTAGAAGTGGCTGTCATATTCTAAATTTTGAAACCCTGGCAGATCTCCTTTCTGTCAGTCATTAGTTGAGACTGGAATTGATGTTTTTAGGAGTGCTAACCCAGGCGTGATCTTTTCCTGTGGAAGTGGCCCTCATTTTGGAGCAGCAGGAGACCAGTTTCAAAGCTAATTAGTTTCTTTGGTTATGAAAAGCAATTTTGTACTTTGTCCAATCAGCAACACAGAGTGTCTTCTCAGTAGGAGACTGCTCATATGTTTACAGGGCAAGTTGTACTGCTTAGCACTTACCTTAGTCCTTTTTGTGCTGCTATAGCAGAATACCACAGACTGGGTAATTCATAATGAATGGAAATGTATTGGCTCATAGTTTTGGAGGCTGAGAAGTCCAATATCAGGGTGCAAGCACCTGTCAAGGGCCTTCTTGCTGTGTCATCCCATGGTGGAAGAGCAGAAGGGCATAAAGAGGGTGATAGAGTAGCAAGAGGGGACCAAACTCATCTTTTTGTGAGGAACCCACACCCACCATGATAAACCCACTCCTGCAATAATGGTATTACCCCATTCATCAGGGCAGATGCGTCATGGCGTAATCACCTTTTAACAGTCCCACCTCTTAATTACCGTTAAAATGGTTATGAAGTTTCCAGCACATGCTTTCTGGGGAGACACTGTCAAACATTTTATCAATCTTCTTCACCCTGACTTACCAGGCAGAGAACTGGTTGGGTAGAAGAGAGACCCGAAGCTAGAAAGAGTACAAGTAGTCTCTGTGTTGTCACATGAACAACATTGTCACATCATCATTGTTTATATCTGCATATCAGTTAACAGTTTGCAATTTATTTTAACATCTATTATTAATGTCTCAGTACTCTGTGAGGAGAGTGCTTTTATTTAGAGAAAGAAGGTATGATACTTGAGTATATTTTTAAATAACTCTGGCTGTGAAAATATTTTTTTTGTTAAGTTTAACTGAAATATATATAACTCCTTTAACTTTCATCCTCAAGTTATTCTAGTTTCAGTTTGTTGGCTGATGGTCATTTTATCTAGCTTGTTGCCGTGGGGTGCTTTGGCAGGGCTGCACATTATGTACGTTTTAGGAAGTTCTGTCCTCTGAAATTGGTCAGTGGAATTTTCCGTTTTGCTTATCTGATGGCCCCAGCTTCTTCTCCTTGGTGGCCCACCTTTTCTCCACTACTCATTTTTGAACCCTAGACAGACTAATCACAAAGCAGTTGTCATCATGCCAGCTGTTCACTGGTTGCCTTCAACATTTGACTTGTTTCCTATTTTGAGGTGATACAAGAGAATTTAATGACCTGAAAAAATGCCCATCTATCTTGTGAACCTAGTTAGGAAGGAATTGTTTGGTTTTTATGATGTGTAAATAATATATTTGGAGACACATTTTCAAATGTGTCAGGCTATATAGTAAGGAAAGGCTCCCTAAACAAGGTGGGACAAATTGTCTGGCTAATAGAACTTAATGACAGATCTTCCATTAATCAGAATGGAGAATGTGCTTCATTAAGATAATTAACACAGCACTTGTGCAGGTGATACTTATTGCACACAAATTTCCAAGTTTATTTCTTTCCCTTGAATAAATTTGGAGAGAAATTCTAGCTATATTTTCTTGTTTGCATTAAAATGATCAGTGGGAACAAATTCCCTTTTTTGTTTTTGAAGCTGCTGGTAACTGGTATCTTCCTCTACAGGTGTAAGGGACAGATGAGACGCTGCTTTTCCTTCCAGCAGTCTGTTTGCTCATCACCAGGTACCAAGCTCCACTAGTGAACTGTAGAAAGCATATCCTTTCCAACTCCTAGACTAGCAACATTAGACTTAGAAAGGACCTCAGAGATCTTTAACTAATTCACTTTATGTCAGTAAATTGAAGTCCAGGCAGGGAAAGTGACATGGCCAGTGCCACCTAGTATACTAGTGCCAGAGCTGTCTGTGGGATAGTGGTAGTCCACTAACACTGAACTGAGAGCCAAAATTCCTGGGTTGACATTGGGCAAGTTATATCACTTCCGTGCTCCTCACTATCTTCATCTGTAAAATGGGGAAAGTATTTAGCAGAGGGCCAGGTAAAGACAAACTGGCTTTTTTATTTAGTCTTCTTTCCACTACACTCTGATGCTTTTCTTTCAGCGAAAACTGAAGATTATGGAGGAGAAGCTGATGTCGGGAAGAATGAGCAATCAATAATCAGTGCTGTTTTCTTTGTTTTCTCTGCAGGATCCTCAGTCTTCCACAATGAACCCTGTTTACAGCCCCGTGCAGCCTGGGGCTCCTTATGGCAACCCTAAGAACATGGCCTACACGGGTGAGTAGTATGAGAATGGCTCTCATTTTGAGAAATGGTGGTTAAAAACATTACCAGATAACTTGTTGAATGACTTTGGAGGTGTATGATATCAGAAGATAGGTCTGAGTTCCAGTGGAAAGATCTCAGAGAACCTGTTGTCTGGTTGTTTCTAAACTTTATTCTACAAAAATACAGGAGAGTATTTTAGAGATCCGCAAACATTTGATTTGATTATTTTAAAATATTGAGAACTATTTTTGTAAAACATGAAGACGTGTTAGATGATCAGTGTGTTAAGCTTCTAAGAATGCATGTTAATTTTTTTAAATGCTACCATTTGCATGTACTTATGTTTTTAAATCAGGATATTCTCAATGCTATGCAACCAAATTAACATTCAGAAATATATTGGAGGTTGAGCCTGATATAACTGTAGCTGTTATTCCTAACTTTCTATTTCACATGTTTATCACAACAGTTTCATTGACCTCATTACTTAACCTTAACAGTAGATATTTTGTTTGAATTCCTATTTGTATATTTATTCTAACAAAATTAATTTCCAGTAACAAGGACTCATGGGAACAGTACCCTACACCCTACTAGCTTACAGAGCTTGTTGCTTCTCCCCTTTCCAGTTTAGGGTGCTCCAGCAACCTAAGTTCCTTTGCCAGAGGGGACTGAACTGCTTTGGCAGACAGAGCCCAGGAGAACCCTGTGGGGCTTTGGTTTCCTATTTGCTCTGATCCTGGCTGCCTTCATTCTTACTAAGTTGCTAAACAAGAGAAGGAAGAGAACAGTTGCATTTATCTATTGATTTGCACAAAGATTAAGCAGTGCAAATCTGGAAGGGGAATTGACTTTGTCAACATAATTTTCCAAACTTCCAAAATTGGAAAGGGAACAGACTTTATCTCTGCTTGGCACATAGTAGGATTTGGTAATGTGTTTTGACTGACTGGATAGCAACCAGGTTCAAATCCCAGCTCTGTCAGAGAATAGCTGGGTGACTTTGGACAACTTGCCCTAACCTCCCCAGACTTAATTTCTTTGATAAACTGGAATAATATTATCTATTTCATAATAGATAATTCTGGGAATGGGACAAAATATCTATTTCATAGGACAGTTGTGAGAATCAAACAATATAATTTGTACTCCTCTAGAGGAAAGGAAGATATTTTTTTGTTTCTACTAGTCACCAAGGAATATTATGAGCTTGGAACTGTTTTAAGTTTATTTCCCTACTGTCGATTCTAGGACCACACAGATAGTATAAACTCCACGTAAGTAGTATAAATTCAGACTTCACACAGGCCAAGTTTTCAAATTTGCAGGGAGACTTTGTATTTTTTAACCCAAGCTTGCCTATTGTATCTCTGTACTTTTGGACTTTTTTTCTTTTTTTTAAACTGACAATATGACTCCTCCAAGGTCCCAGCTTTATGCAGGGGAATTTGAGTTGCAGCTCTGTTGGTCCAGGGCCCACAGCCTATCTCCTACCCCTGGTGGCTATAAAAAGCAAGCCCTTTGAGTGCCTGACTGAAAAATCTTCCCAAAGCAGCCCAACATCAGCTCACCACATAGACTTCCTGATTTTTAGTTTCCTCTTCATTTTTTGAGTAGTAGGGATTTCTTTTTCTTTCACAAAATCTCAACTCTGCCTAAGAGTTGGATGTTTGTTACACTTCATCCAGCTTTTCTAGGTATTATGCCGTAGGCAGATTTTCAGGTTATTTTTCTTCTGCATTACTGGGAATGAAAGATCTAAGTGAAGATAATTTATAAACAAATGCCAAATATAGTGCATTAGAGTAAATGTATTGTTAGTAATAATGATTATGTTAAAAAGTATTACCATTTGGTAAGAACATACTAGGTATTATATATATTATGATCTTATGAATCATAAATGCTATCGTTTTTATAGATAACTATGGTAGTTTAATTCAGGTCGTATGACTTGACTAATGTATATAGCTTCTAAGGGATGAGGAAATATTTGAACTCAGGTCTTTGTGATTTCAAAGTATATGTCCTTTCTTTTATAGTAAGCTAATCTGTCTTAAAATATGTGCTGCTTTCTCTGTTCCCTGTGATAAACTAAGTACGAGGGTTGTCTTTTCAGTTTGTAGGACTAGGAAACCTTCCCTTTGAGGAGCTAGAAGCCTGTTCCTGGCCAGCAATTTGGGGTAGGCTCAGGAGGTCAAGAGTACAAGGGGTTGAGTCCATTGTGGTGTCATCTGCCTCAGAGGCAATGGGATGGTGGCCACAGGGAACAGAGGAGTTGGAAACACTGCTGGTTTGAAATTCTCTTGAAATCTGAAGATGGGAAATAAAATATAGCTTTGTGGTACAATGTATTCCAGTAAGCAGCTGTCTTCTAGCCAACTGACAGTGTTCTCTCTCCCTTTTAAAGCCCCTTTACTGAGTACTTACTGTGTGCCAAAACCTGAGCTCAGTATTTTACAGAAAATACCTATTTTTATACTGCAGCAATCCTATAACATGGGTATTACCAGCTCCTTATATATTTTGGCAGAGTGAATTTAGAGAATGTAATATGCCATATACTTTGAAATGCTTAAGCATAGACTATATATTATGAATTGAATGTTTGTGTCCCTCCAAAATCTGTATGTTGAAACCCTTAATCTCCAATGGGATGGTAATTGGAGATGGAACCGCTGTAGGTTTAGATGAGGTCATGAGGGATGGGCCTTTATGATGGGATTAGTTCACTTAGAAGAAGAGACACCAGAGCTCTTTCTGCTATGTAATGACACAGCAAGAAGGTCACCATCTGCAAGCAAGGAAGGGAGTCTTTAGGCTGGTACCCTAATCTTGGACTTCCGCTCTCCAGAACTATGAGAAATAAATGTCTGTTGTTTAAACCACCCAGTGTGTGGTATTTTGTTATAGCAGTTCAAGCTGACTAGGACAGATAACGAGTACAGTGAACACTTGAATACTCTTTACCTAGATTCACCATGACAGTGGGCTGTTTAGAGACCGGGCATTTCTTTTTCTAAAGGCTTCATAAAGGTTTTTCTGCTAGAATTTTGGAGTGTAGTCAAGACCTCAACGTTCTTTTCTTTTGTTTCTTTTCTTTTCTAAAATGTTCTGATTGTGTCAGTGTCTAAGCATCACCCAGAGGTCTAATATGTGTTCTAGAGTCTCAGATCTCAGCTGAAATCTGGTCTCTGTCTCTCTGTCACTAGTTACCTATGGAAACTTTGGTTGAGTAATCTTCCTGAATCTGCTTCGTCGACTGTAAAATGGGATAATGGCCTATAAGATGGTTGGTTTGTAGTCAATGAAAATGTTTATAAAGCTTCTGGTGTCATGCCTGGCTCATAGTGGACACTCAGTTAATGGTTGTTGTAATGCATAGCGATGAGTATATACCTACTGGGAAAACAGCATGGGACATAGAATTAGTGACTTAGATTACAGACCCGATTCTGCCACTTAAGAGCTGTGTGACATCAGATAAGTTATCAAGCTTTCTGGGCCTCAATCTGTCATTTGCTTAAAAAAAAAAAGAAGAAGATAAAACAGGGTTAGGAATACCTTCCTCACAAGACAGCTGAGAGTAATAAATGTAACAGAGCTAGTCACCAACTTGTGATGAAGTTACCAAAACACAATTAGAAAATAATTCTAAAATGAGAGAACAGATGAAGCCCCTAAATGAATCCATCATTTTATAGGTGAAAAGAGTATAAGAAGTATTTTGAAGAAAATGTGGTTGGGTCTGGGACATGTGTCTCCCCATCTGGGTCTGTGTATTCATGTGTCCCTACCATAAAATAACAAGCATCCTCCCTTCCCTTCATCGTGTTGTGGCCACTTCACATTCCTCTGGTAGCCCACTCCAGTTCAAGCTCACTCTGACTCCTCCTGTGTTGACCGTTAATGAATATCCTGGTTTCAGCCAGTAGCAAACATAGGTCAAAATGCTACAAGTACCCTAACAAAAGATACAACTCTTCAATGTTAGAAGCCTAGGAAATTAATCTGTTCAAAGGCTACCATCTTTTTTTTTTAACCAGTGGTGGGTTTTTTTTTTCTTCCCAGATTGCTGCTTTTGCCTAAAAACATAGAGTCAGTTTAAGAAGCACATTTGTATTTGACAGTTTATCAGCTAGAGGACCTGAATAATTAATGAAGCTGACAGTCTGCAGATATAATGAATTATCTGCTGTATCAGTAAGATTAAAAAGTAAAATTTTTCTCTGCAATGAACCTTGCCCAGTTTACATTCCTTTGCATAAATTGCATAAATCCTAGGATCACCTGTTGGAGGTCTTGATTAACTGATATTTATACTTTGTTTATTCTTTGCAAAGAAATTTGTGGGATTTTTTCGCCTCTTTTTTTTTTTTATAACAACTCTGGAAGATAGTCTTTATTTTCCAGATGAAATGATGAGATAAGCTTCTCCAAGATCACATTGTATAGCAGAGCCCAAACCAACTGTAGTTACAAAGTAAGTACTTCTACTGTTCTAGCATTCATGGCTATGTCTTGGACACTCCAGTGATTAGGGTCTCAGATGAGCCTGGAAAATGGATTCTAATTCCTGAAACTGCTCTCGCAACCCCCCACTTTGATGTTCAAACTGCTCTCTGCTCAGGAGAGAACTCCAAGATCAGTTACTTACTTTTCACTTATGGTTGAAGAAGAGTGTCTAAAGAGAATTCTTATTAACTGTTCTCATGAATGTAATCTCCTTGTGGTTAAATCCAGTGGACCCTTTTTAGTCTTTATCCTGATTTGACTCTCTTTTTTTTTTTTTTTTTAGACATGGTCTTTCTCTGTTGCTCAGGCTGGAGTGCAATGGCACGATCTTGGCTCACTACAACCTCTGCCTCCTGGGTTCAAGCGATTCTTCTACCTTAGCCTCCCGAGTAGCTAAGTTTGGTGCAGGCCACCAAACCAGCTAATTTTTGTGTTTTTAGTAGAGACAGGGTTTTACCATATTGGCCAGGCTAGTCTCAAACTCCTCAAACTAG